CCGCGTCCCTCCGGGCTGCTCTCCCGCAGCCGTCTAAGGAGACCCGAGGGAGGTGATGTGCGGAGGCAGCGGGGAGCGCACTTAGGGGACGGGCACCGGGATGGCGCAGTGACCCACGAGGGGTCGGGAAGATGAGGGACGACTCGCAGCTCGCACACTGGGGACGTCTCTAGGCCGGCCACTCGGCCACGGTGCCAGGGAAGCCCGAGAGGGATGCAGCCTCTGCTTCTGGGCGCGGTTCTTTACTGCTCCCCGACCCGGGTCGCACGTCTCGGAGCCGGCTCGCAGTGACGGCCGGGGGCTGCCAGCCCAGGCCACCTCTGCCCTGCCCCGCTGTCCCTCAGCTAGGAGTGAGGACAGCCCGAGCGCCACGTTTCATTACAGGTTTTACTGTCACCTCTTTACCTTCCTCTCCCTTTGTTTTCCTGACTAGGGCAATCCCCATAAGCCTTTGCATGGCCATAAATCCTAACATAAAGAAAGCAAAAAGTCCAGCACTCTGCCACACCTTCCTTCCTCTCCTGAGTAAATCCCCTGTAACCTCAGCAAGTTCTGATAGTAAGAAGAGTTCTCGCGAGATGTCCCACTCTGGTGGCGAGGGGGTGGGGCAGTAGGACCGTTGGCTGCGGGTCACGCGACCCAGTGGGGGCTGACGTCATTAGCATCACGTGCGTGTGTCGAGCCTGTTTCGCTTTGAGAAGGGAGAAGGGACAAGGAGAGGGAGATCGTGAGTTTTTTGCTGGCATTCTCAAAGAACAGGCCAGGTAGGGGCACAGGAACGCACTCCATCAGTGGCTATCTGCAAAACCACTGAAGAGTTCAAGAATGTGCCTGCTCTTGAGTCCACTGTTGCTTAATAGTTAGAGTGGAGAAAAAATTAGCATGTAAGATAGGTAAGTTGTCACTGGTTGCTAAGATCCTCTCCAGTTCTGAATCTTTAATAAACGTGGCAATTGCAGATTTAGAGGCCGACGGGAAACAGAAGCATCATGAACGTTTTTTGTTTTTGCTCCTCTTGTTCTACAAAATACCATAAAATCCTGCATTCCTATTGCTAATTTGCTCATGCCTAGAATTACATCATGCACTCAAAATTTCACAGCAGAAAGGTGATAGGTAACTTTCAGTTATGGAGATTGTATAGGCTTTCTGAGAGGGTTCTTGCTCACTGTCAGGAATGTTCTTAATTCTTTTATTTCCTGTTAAAGAATGCTATTAGCTTATGAGTGGCCTTTGAACTCAAGTACTCGAGCTAGTCATAGAATTTTTAAATGCTTTTCTGGTGTACGTTTTGCAAATATTGCTCATACTTCTCTCCCACGCAACAACACAAGAAAACTTTTTTTTGTATTTAGTCATCATTCAATGTCTGCATTGTTCTGCCCATGAAAATGTCATTTACTGGCCTGTTTGACTATAATTTTCCCCTCAATTTTACTTGTATCTTTTGCTGTCCTTGCCATGCATTAGACTCCTAATGCGGATTTTTGACAAGGCCAAGCATATGGGACCTGTACATGTCCCTTCTTTTCTTGTCTGTTTCATATCTGGAGACCAATGCTGTTCAGTTGTCATTGTGGAACACCCTTAGTGGTTTCTTGAAATTTCTCGGGGTTTTATATAGCTTTGATTCCTTTGGTTTTTAGTTTGTTCTAAACAAATCTTGTCTTTTCTGTCCCTAAATTTGAACACTTTCTATTTGTTTGGGACAGTGTCTCACTATATCTCCTTAGATGTCCTGGAACACACTATGTGGAGTAGGCTGGACTTCAAACTCAGAGGTCCCCATGCCTTTTCAGTCTAATGTTCTCCCAACTGAGCTATTTAGGCTAGGTCCCAATGCCTCTGCCTCTCCAGTCTTGTGATTAAAGATGGACACCAAAATGCTGGGCTAAATTTGCACATTTTTAACAACAAAAATCAAAATGTGTTTGTTTCTTAAACCCCGGCCATAAAAGAAAAGGATCACCTGTATAAATGTAGCAATTAGAAAAATATTATACAAATTAATAAATAAATGGAGAAAAAGTAGTGTTTATGTATTAATAATTAAGCTAAAGTTTGAAAGGAAAAATAATTTCGTCTTGGCTAAACATTTTAAATATATAGCTTAAATATATGGCTCTAGGTTATAATGGAATAATTTAATAGTCTTCCCTGAATCAAGAAGTGATAAGAAAAAATAAAATTAAAAAAATGAGCATAATAAATTTTTTCCAATTAGGAAGACATTGTTCCTTAAATATCGATTCAGTGAAGTCTACACACATATATACAGTTATTTAAGTCACCTCAGCTATTTAAAATAATGGTAACTATAAATGGTTAGAGTAATTTTTCAGCACAGTAAAAATGTAGTTATATTTGATATATAAGTATCAAATTAGGATTAGTAGATAATAAACTGGTAGATTTTATATAAATAATGTTTAATCTACATGTGCTCTGTTTGCTCTGTATTGTGCTCTCATTAAAGTATTTACTTTTTAAATTTTATTTTATATCAGTAAATTCTGAAGTTCTGTCCTCCTTAAGACCATAGTCAGATTGAGTTTATTTTCTTTTAATTCCACTTTATCACTTTAGAAATAGCTGCAAATCAGAGTTAAGTTCTAGAAGGTATACTTATAAACAAAGTGACTTAAGGTTAGTGTCTAGTCAAGCATCCTTACCTGTCTATTCCAGTGAACAAAGGGGAATAGAAGAGTAATAAAGAAAGGGTGGTGTTAGACAAAAATAAAATAAAATAAAAAATTAAAAAAATTCATGAAGCTTGTTGTCTTATGGTTTCTATTGTGGTGACGAAACACCATGACCAAAAGCAAGTTAGGGAGGAAAGGATATTGTGGGACATTTGTACAGTAATGAAGGG